GGGGGGGGGGGGGGAGGTGTAGGAGCGGGCGGTGTGGAATGTGAGAATGGAGAGAGTGAGGATGATTGGATGAGAGGATTGATAATGATTTGTGAATGCATAAAAGGCTTGTTGTGGTCTAATAAATCATTCCTCTCCCAGTGTGTCGTCTCATCGCTAACGCCCTTTTTCTCTTTTGGTAGCACTGTTCACAAAACCCAGAAATCCACCGCAAAAATGATATGTCATTGCGTCGGATAGTTGCAACTTGTCTCTTTGAAAAGCACAATGGAGTGTGGGTTATAACAATGGGGCTGGGAAATATCGTAATACTAACTAACTAACTTAACTTACTGCTCCCCTGGTTGAGCATTTCTGGGCTCTGGCGGCTCAAGACTGCGCAGTTTTGGCTAGTTGCATGGCTGAAAATCTGGGTAGGAATGAAAGTGCATAACAGTTTTGTGGTACAGCAGGTGATCTCTTGTGATCTTTTGCGTGCAGACCATATTTGTCGGCGAGCAGATATGGTCTTACTGATCGCCTTTGATGACAATACCAAAGTCGTTGCTTTTGACTGAAGATGGTTGAAAGCACTCTTTTGGATGCTACCCGTTTTTTTTCGTGACTTTAATGTCGCTGCATTGTTCGGCATGTTATAAAGGCGGTGTTCGTTTGGGGGGGGGGCATATTCGCCCACTCTTTTCGGTCAGTGATGAGAACTATATGACATGTCACGTTGATGCGCTTATAAGGCGATAGTGCCGTTATAAGCTGTAGGAAAAGCTAGGCTGCGTTTATGCTCTGGGTCGGCGTGCGACAGCGTTGAGCGTACACCAGCGACTAGAAAAGTGTCGATCTAGCGTATGCCAGCGTACAGTAACATTTCGAGGGACTGGGAAAGTATGGATATCGAGCTAGGGTTTCGAGCGTCCACCAGCGTATGCCAGTACAGCGTTTCGAGTGATGTATAGATATCGATCCAACGTACGCCACCGTCTGCCGCCGTACAAAAGCACTTCGTGGGCAGCTCGCGCTAGATCAATATCTATACTCCTAAACGCTTGAGAAGCTGCTTTGCACTGGCGTGCGCTAGATCGATACATATGCTTTCCTAGTCGCTGGCGCTGCGTACGCTCGAAACGTTGCCGTACGATAGTGTGCGCTGACGCAAGTATGAGCGCCGCTTTATTGCTAACGGCTAGCTTATGCTAGGAGACATATGATATAAAAGTTGAATATTTGTGCTGTGAGATTTGTATTCCACAATATTCCTCTTCTTTTCCTACTCCTCCTTCCAGTCGTCACTCGCACACGCTTGCGAGGAAGTATAAAAAAAACTCAAAAACCTCGCTCTCAACTCTTTGCAGCTATTCTTTTCGTCGTTTTATGGTTTGATTTGTATTGAAGCTGATAATTCTGCATCACTCGATGAGTTATTTTTTTATGCTTTAGGAATGTTACAACGAAAATTGCGGAGTGCTGTGTACGGCAGATTTGCTTTGGTGCTAATGGTCGACTTATAGTAGCAGTTGCGGATGACTATTCGGTCACTCGCCTGGAGCGGATTTTTGACGGTGAAGAGGTATAGCTGCATGTTTTTGGGTGATCTAAAGCTAGCGATTGCATTGCTTTTATTGCAGATACCATCCTATTGCAATACCGCTGGACTTTTGAATGGTCCGACAGCAAAGAAAGCGAAAAGGCGTGGTCGAAGGTTCGGAAAAAAGCGGAACGACAGTGATTCAGGCGGTTCTGAGGATAGCGATATGAAAACATAGGAAGAACGGCATTTGTGAATGTTTTGTACATATTTTGACGTCGTATTCTGTGCTAAATCCTGATCAAAAATCAGTGACATTTTTGATATTCCGAGTGGGCTTATTTTAAATTTTAAGACTTTGTTTAACCTTGATCTCAATATTTTCTTGTATTGCAATGAAGTCTATTTGCATTGCTATACAGTGAGCTTTGAAAGAGTTGACTCTCCTTATCTGGAATCGCTTTGTTTAATTGTAAGGAGTGCTTCTATGTCACAAATACAGCGATGTTTTAGATGCCTCTAGACCCGACAATTTTGGAGTATGCCTTGATAGGTAAGCGAGTGGCTTATTGTAAAATTAATCGTTTTTTGAAAATTGTTTTCACTTCACTTTCACCCTTTCACTTTAGTTACCACGGCATCTTCATGTGATCGACCTTCTTCAGCACTACGGGTGAAGTTTTCAGTAGATGGAGACATGTATTCTGTTACTATCCCGATGACCGTTGCCGATTTTGCTAGAATGGTTGATGTGAGTTGTCTCTTATCCAAAGGGGTTGTTTGGCTTACGCTGCTGTTTATCTTTTTTTCAGGATGGGGAAGATATCGTTTCTTTTATCAAGAGTCAGGAAGTTTTCCAGGATTAGAAATTTTTTATCATTTCTGATATGGTTCTTGCTCACTTATTTGATTTCGTTTTGTATACGAATAGAAGCACTTTCTATCCCCTGAATTTGATGTTTTGACTTTCGTGTGGTTATATACATTCTCACATATTATTGCATTGTAATGCTCCCCCGATTTGTGCTTGAATTCTGTTTATTCTGTTTTCTGTTTAGCTGCTCGTAAATGTTGCGAAGACGGGAAGGGGAGGGGGAGCAGTAAAAGACACTTCGCTCATGGAACGCACCTTTAGAACATTTCACATAGGAACCGCGGGGTAAGTGGGTCACGTGGGAACTTACTTTGGACTCTAGCGACAACTCTAGTATCTTTAGAATCTGTAGAACTGACGTGGATCCCAGGACCCTTGACGATTATTAGCTTGGTTGTCACATTGAGTTATGATCAGTAAATCCTGAACCATAGAGGCCTTGCCCGAAATTTAGGTGGCTGTTGTCCTGCTGATGGCATCTCGAATATGTTGTATAGGGTTTTTCCTGTCGCCCTGCTCACTGTTCGATGTGAGCTTTGATAGTATCATGAGCAAAGTGCCTTCCTTCCCCCCCCCCGCCCACCCACCTACCCATCCCGCGGCATGTCTTCTGTTCCGTCGGCCGCTACTGTGTACATACACAATTTACTAGAGCGTGTAGTCTGATTCGCTGCGAACGAAGGGGCGTGTCAGGCGGGATGAGTTTGGCGCGGTGCCAAACCCGTTCTTCACCAGTTGTTGAAGCGAGCAAGTGAATGTATCATATCGTTTGTATCACTCGTTTTCTACCAGTTGTTCTCGCTTCAACAACTGACAGAGAATGGGCTTAGCGCTGTGTCAACTCATACTGCCTGACACACCCCCTCATCCGCAGCGAACTGGCGTATATCTTCGCATCTACTCATTTCATTTGTGTAGCGAATGAGCAAATTTTGAGTCTTCTCATCCACAAGTATGTTATAGATAGTCGTGCGTATATTTTATTCATGTTTCCAGATAATTAAAAGGCTATTGTAGAGTCATGACCACTGGTCAAAACGATTTCTATTATTCCAACAAGTACGAAGACGACGAATACGAGTACAGGCATGTCCATGTTACTAAAGAGGTCGCCAAGCTCATACCGAAAAATCGTCTCATGTCTGAAACAAGATGGCGAAGTCTTGGAATTCAGCAGGTGAGAGAAAAACAAGGTTCTCGAGTCTGTGGTGTGCACATTTCGGACATGTCCTTATATTATGGTTTCAGTCACCAGGATGGGTCCACTATATGATCCATGGCCCGGAGCGGCATGTTCTTCTGTTCCGCCGTCCGCTACCGAATAAGAACAATGTCGCCGGTAATTATTACGTCACCATCAAGCACAGCTTGTAATGTCGTTGAGGATATTCAAGGTAAGGGCTGGCCTTTGCCAATCTTTTGAACTAGTGCCAACTTACCAGCTCCTGTGGCGTTGCGTTTGACACGCGTTTCTGACTGAAGAATGGGTCGTACTTGAAGTGATAGCGGTTTCTTATATTTTCATTACCTCTCTCCTCACTATTCACTTGTATCTCGCTCATGTGCATCTCTGCCGCCACATACGGTCCATTCATATTTGATGTACAGCTACCTGAATTATCCCCTTACTTGAGACGAGTTTTTGCTCTGAATAAATTTTATGTCCACTGTACAATGTATGAGCTTGTTTTACTAAGTATCGTGTCAATTCCATAGTAGGTATGGCTAACGATGGTAGCTGCTCTATTACCGCGAGAGTCTTTATCGGAAGATTATATCGAAACCGAACTAGACCCCAAAACTCAATAAAAAGGCAAGATCGTAGATCACCAAAAAAAGATTATCTTAGGTCACTGTAGGGCGTGCGGTGTCGAATGTTTAGAGAATGGTGAAAGAATTCCAAAAGAATTTCAGTCAGTTAGGGCCAGCTGGCACACTAATTTGGTACTCGGGGATCGCTATCTAGTGGAATAGCGGAAAAAACGAAGCGGTCAAAAATCTGCCTAGAAAAGTGACCTCCCTACCCTTAATGACTCAAAAAGCAATTCCGGACGAGTTTCCCGTAGGCATCTTGCCAATAACGCTACGGTAGATACGGCTGCATGTATGTACTCATATATCCATGCAGCACCGCAGCCGCTTCATACCAATCCCTTCGCTTCATATTTTACTTAGCAAATGAAGCAATACGAGCATCAGGTACGGTCGTCCATTTGTGGGCGGGCGGGCGTGGTGGGGTCGGTATGTTGTAGCTTGATAGGGCCCTTATAAGGGTACCTTCCTTGGAAAAGGCGCTACGCAGCGCCTGCTCAGGGTCGCGGAATTCCGTCCTGCCAGGCGTATTAATCCTACTCGTCTAAGGATTTATCATGCTTAACTGCCTTTAACTAGAAAAAGCTTCGCGCAGCAATTTATATCTTCCGTCTAACACTGCTGTCATCACGAACAATGAAAACAATCTCTGCACTCAACCAATTTGTAGGCGTCCTTCCTTGTTCGAGTTGTATGGTCCGCATTCTCTAAATATAATATAGCGGACCAGAGGTAGACGTGATCGATGATTGTGTGACAGAATGTGTTGAAGAAAGCGGAGATGAAACCATTGGAAGGAAGAGATTACGGGTCACAAAAGACCACAGTTCGGACACGGACGATAGTGAAAAGCTTGCTGAGTTAGTTACACGAAATCATGGAAGGTGCTGAGAGGAAGAGCTAGGTGGAAGGCATCAACATTAGAAGGAACACTGAATGCTGGGAAGAGTACCAGTTGCGTAGTACCAAAGAGAGGCTCGAATCTGAAGTTAGAAGGACCTGCAACGAATGTAGAAAGCGTGGAAGGGGCTCAGTCCCTGGCGAACGATTAAGGTGGGTAAATCGGTAAACGAGCAAAGAATCATCCCGTTAGGAGAAAGAGTCCAACTCTACGCTTTATGAAGCAAAAGCCATGGAGTTCTACCGGGCGAAGAACTGCGCGAGGGAGTAGTCATATAACGGTCAATTTGTGCCGAGTCGTTGCACAAAACAGTGGCAGCGACGTTATCGCAAGCTAAAAGGTTGCAAACGGTTAACATAGGACTAGTGGCTGAGGATGAATACGGAACAAACGCCGAAAGATTGGTTTATAGGGCAGAAAGAACATGATGGACAAGAGAAGCCACCTCTTAGCC